TGCCCTACACTTTTACTATTTTATATTTTTATATGGCATGTTTGCCATCTTGGCCATAGCTTTACGCGTTCTGGTTAACATTTGGCTTAATGTAATTAACAGTGAGCCACTAACACCAATTAATAAGAAATTAAAGTTAAATAAATTGTTCATTTACAGCTATGATTTATATCGGCACAACTACCGCAACTTTTGTTTTTGTTTGGTTACAAAATATAGACTAGGTGTGCGTGGACAAATAATTCATTAATATGTTTTTAACGTAATTTTTTACTCATTTATTTTCAAAAAAACATAAATCAAATTGTATACGATATTTTATACCATGTATCTTAATCGCACTAATTTGTTACAAAAATATAATTTAAATATATTGATCTATATTGATTGGAGACTAATTCTCAAAAAGTATAGTTAATTTATGTTTGTTAAATTTCTCCGCGAATATAAAATTTGAAAGAATTAATAAGGTATACAATTTTAGAAATGAAGTTAATACAGTAGTCATTTTAGTATTATCCCCGCATATGATATTTTAATTGGATTTTCTTTAAACATAAGAAAATATACTTGTAATCATTTTCATATAACTTAAAAATTGATCTACCTAAATTTTTTACTTTGTATGGTATTGATGTATAATAAGTCCAAAAATGTGATTAAACTTTCAATTTTTAAACTTTTTCAAATCTGAATATGAAATAAAACGTTTAAAGAAATCACTATTATTGATCTTTTCACCCTAAAATCTCTTCTCCACATTATTAAAACTGAGTTTTAGTAGTATTGCAATGTTGGTCGCCATGATAATGTAGCATGAAGAATCCATTTTCGTTGGTGCAACAAAAAAAATCAAAAAGTTAATAGCATGGACGGTTTTGATTCAAAATAAATATACATACAATATGGAACAATTTTAAATGATCGATTTGACTAAATATGTGGGTTTTAAGTGACATTTGCTTTAAACCCACATAAATTCAAAAGAACTCTAAATGTATAGTTTATCAGTTTGTTTTATAGAGGTAATACATAACTTCTACGGTTGCGTTAAGATGACGTTTTCACCCTTTATAACGAAAGATGATAGGGTTCATAGACACAAATTAAAGATTTTGTTTCTCATTCGAGCAATAAGTCATATAGAATTGATCACCAACATCTAGCCACACAATGCACACACCTCTGAGATACACAAATATCATCATCTTTTTATTATTCTCTAATGACATGAGGCTTACCATATAGTTTTGAATCATGATCTCGTGTTGTTCATTCTCTAAACTCGCTAGATACCCAATTTTTTGGTATCACCTATTTTAAAATTATCACAAACATTTTAGATTGTTTTAGAGTGTCTAAGAAGAATCAAAAATATTCAAGCAAATGAGATAACTGAGTAAATAACACAAAATAAAACAATCAGTAGAATTTCTTGATTGCTTTTCGTCCTCTCCAATTTCTATTCTTATCTTTCTTCTTTATCAAACATTTTAACATATTACAAAATTTAACATAAATCTATTGGGATCTCAAATTCCATATTCTTGTCTTCATACGTGTTGAAGAAGTCATTACCATATCACACATCAACTAACTCTAATCCCAGAAGAACACAAAAGCTTGAAGTTTCTGAATAAGTGTAGTTCTCCCTACATCATATAACAAAAAAGTGTGTCATTTTTGTAAGAATACGCCAAACACACAAACAGCTGAAATTTTAAAAAGCAATCGGTTTTCACTACATTACTTTATTAGAGAGGGATGCCTCGTGGTAGAGAAAGAGATGTATGTGTGTTCCACTTAAACCAAACAGGAGGCGAGACATGTTTAGAACCGATCTCGCAAGAAACATCACGATAATTTCTTATTGTGATGCCCATCCATTCATCGAGAACCCGTACAGTGAAACCATATTATAAGTTACAAAATGCTTAATATATCAAGGAACTTAAAACACTCAAAAACTGAAAACTTCAAACACATGCTATATCCCTATAGAACTGTTGTTTCTTCAAGATACCCCAAAACCCTGAAACATTCTCCATGTTCAAAATGTAAAACACTGTTTATTTGCAAGCAAAAGAGACATAAAATCATACGAAAAAGATGATTCACCGTGAGTGGCTTCTAAAAAGGTAATAATAAAAACTTAAAAATTGATCATAACCAAAATCAACTTATATTTAGATAGGAAAAAGACAACATAACT